GATGCATGTCATTTTTTTTTTCGGATCAAGTTCGAAATAGCCGACTGGCGGCCATTTTGTTTTAAAGAATTCAGTTCTGGATCCGTATCCGAGACATGTCTGGATTGATCAAGTTCAAACTTCACACACACAAGGTACATCATGTCACAAATATGTATGTGCATTTGTTTCATGATCTCATTAACGATAGCCAAATGCGGCCGCTTTAAGGCCGAAAATGCATTGAAATCGCACATTTTCACCATTCCGGACCCGGATCTCAGTTATGCATGGACGGATTTCATTCAAATTTGGTACATACATTAAACATAATAGGACCTTGATGCATGTCATTTTTTTTTTCGGATCAAGTTCGAAATAGCCGACTGGCGGCCATTTTGTTAAAGAATTCAGTTCTGGATCCGTATCCAAGACATGTCTGGATTGATCAAGTTCAAACTTCACACACACATGGTACATCATGTCACAAATAGATATGTGCATTTGTTTCATGATCTGCTTAACAATAGCGGAATGATGGCCATTTTAAGGCCGAAAATGCATCAAAATCATGTATTTTCACAATTCCAGAACCGGATCTCAGTCATGCATGGATGGATTTTGTTCAGATTTAGCACAATGTGTTGTACATATGCAGGTGCATTTCAGTCATGATCTGCTTTGAATGTATATGTCACTCAAATATGAACGGAACGGGGACGTGTCATTGACAATGACTTGTTGAATTCAATTCTAAAAATATTTCAGTTCATTTAGAAAGACAAGGAAGTAAAGTTAGGAATAGATCAAAGAATTTTTTTTTTCTACTTCCTTGTAGTTCGACTAAAATGCCTGTGTATGGTGATATGTTAGGTGAGAGCCCTGAATTGGATTTGTGTATAACAGAATACACATTAGGTTACCTACTTTGTACATGTAATTATATAAATAAAAATCTGATTGGAATTGGTGCGAGTACCGTTGTAAAATGTAAAAGGTCAAAAAACCAGGTTGCTTCTCAAAAATTTTAAAATGTTGTACTTTGTATCAAGCTAATTCAATACCACAAAAAGATTCATTTTCAATGCTTAATGTTATTAAATAATGCTTTTGAATACATGCGTTAAAAGTTGATCTGGATGCACAGAACATTCTCTGAAACAGAAAACAAACATCTCCTCGTTCCTATTTGGTACACTTCCAAATTGTGTAGGTTTTCAAAAAATCCTGTTTTTGCTGAGAAATGTTATTTAGACAATCTGGTGCGCAATCAAACCTACCGGTATTATGATGTACCTTTGTGCAAGTGTTATATGAAAACAATTTGAAATTCTCTTGATTTCATTTGAATTTGGAATTTGCACATGAAAAATTCAAAGCAAGACAACCATGGCATCCAATGCCACCTACAATGAAAATTATAAAGAAAGGAAAAATACACAATTTTCTCTACACTAGAAGCACATGCATTAATTTATACATGTACTAATCAAGTAAAGATAGGGAAATCGTGCAAGTTTAGTGTACATAAAATTCTACCAAAACATACATCAGCTGAGAAAATATGGTATTTTGAGTTAAAAAAAAAAATACAAATCTAAAATATTTTGTGTTATTAAAATAATTAAGACAAAGATTCTGCCCATCTGTATAGCCTATTAGAGATCCAGTTGAAGATTTCAGCAATAAGTTGTAACACTACGGTTTATATACTGTATCAAATAGAAATTTATGCCTAATTTACTCAATTTTTATTATGTTTTCAGTTTTTGTGTCTCAAGAACATCCGCACATTCATCCAAACATGTATGGACAAGTTTTGCATGAGAAGACAAGATCTTTTTGATCCATACCAGTTGTTTGATGTCTCAGATTTTGGTAAAGTAAGTATCTACAAATTATAGAACTTTCAATTTAATCTTTTCACCCCCAGACATCTACCCCCCCCCCCAATTATTCTGTACTTTTTTCGTATATTCTTCAATGTGTTTAAAATGAACTCTAGTTTTGGGGCTAACAGACATTATTTGAGTCAATTTATAGTTTTTATTTAAAAATACAGCTCTTTTT